CCTGCGGGTTTGCTGCCCTCGGAACAAGCTGATTCTGACAGCCACCGCAGCCTCGAACGTGCCGGGAACTTTCCAGCAGCTGGTGCAAAACCACCACATAGTTCAGCCCGGCCGCGTCTTCTTAAACAGGTTCATCCGCAGCCCTTAGAGGGTACAAGCGATCGAACCAAGTGCAAGTGGAGATGGGATGGCATTGGTGACTTTCGACGGCGAGCCAACGGCTTGGATCCAGCGACCGTAGAAGGCGCTGCTCGGCCATCGGAAGGACGGTGACAAGCGGTAGGCCTGTGGCGGCACTCTTACCACGCCCAGCGCGGTGCTGACGGCGACGCGCTGCGTCAGCAGGTACTGCCGCCACCAGGACTACGGCGTGTTCCGGTTCGCGCTTCATTCGGCCTACGTAACTTGACCTTCTCACGACGCAGAGAATGACGTGGCACTTCTGGTATTGTCCCGGTCGGCGGCGCTGAACGCACGCCTGCAGCCCATCTGCCTGCCGCCGCCCGACGTCGACCACAGGGGCCAGGAGGCCGACCTGGCCGGCTGGGGCCTGTCCGAGTACACCGGCAGTGTGCCAGGGGCGCTGCAGCAGGTGCGTCTGCAGGCGGTGGACCCGTTGTGCGCCAACGTCCGTGACGTCACGTTCGGCAAAGCGTGTTCAGGCGGCCGGGGCGACCCTCTCCTGGTCCAGGGTGCCGACGACCTCTACCAGGTGATCGGCGTGCTCTCCTCGTCGGGCACCGCCTGCGGACCCCAGAGTTTCCCGGCATCTACGCGAAGGTGTTCAAGTGCAACCCCTGCATCGTGGACAACAGCCGGTGGCAGTGACGTTGACGCGCCTGTAGAGGGATGGTGTCAGTTCTTATAATGGTATAGGTAAGAGCATCCATGAGGGAAATGCGCCGTCGTTAATAGAGAAGAACCAGAATGAAGGTCGGAAGACTCAGAATAAAACAGTGAAAGCAGCGCTGTCAAGTTGATTGGGGATAATGTCGTAGTTAACGCAAATTTTAGGACTCCAAAGATCATTTTGATCTCTTTCCAATATAATGTGCCTGCTCTTACAAGTGTAAAAGGCGGAAGTATAAAGTAAAGTATGCCACAAAGCGATGACAGCATGGCAGCAATGACAAAACCGTGCCATGGCATACGTGCGCACACACACACACACACACACACACACACACACACACACACACACACACACACACACACACACACACACACACACACACACACACACACACACACACACACACACACACACACACACACACACACACACACACACTTGACACCATCTGACACCATCTACTGTTTCCAAAATAAGAATAATGGAGTTCCTTGTTTAATTCTAGGTAAATTATAAATGCATATGTTTTGAGCATATCTTGATGTTTTAGGGCCGCGGTGGTGACGTAACAGTGTCGGCCCACCGCGCGCCATCGCCAGACGTGTGTGAAGCTAGCAGCCGTGCGATGTCCGTGTTCAGCAGAAATTGACGCAGTTTTAACTTAACGCAGTTTTAAAACAGCCCTCTTCAGTTTTAACGAAGCATCGAGTAAAGTTGAAGTTGATGAGGAACGATGCATGACACCAAAAACCGGTTAGTTTATAGGAAATTTGGAATAATTTTTCGATCTGGTGTTGTTAGGACTTATTTACGACATCCTTGTAACCCGCGTAACATTCCAGATCGTGTGAGATTTAGCATGTATCTTGCTTGTCGACATTCTATGGTTAACACTTTATAACCTCTGGAGGCCAAACCGCTTGACGTCACGCAAAAGGCCTTTACGCGAGGTGTCAGTGCGCCGTGGGATATCTTCGGTACAAATTTGGTAAAATATTGAAGGAGCTGTTTATTTCTGTTGAATATGGAGATCGACTCACAAACGTGATCGGCGGATTCGTCTGCTGTCGCCGGGCGCAGGCGCCGGCTGTGGGTAGCTGAGCAATGTTTTTTAAAAAAAAAACCGCTCGGAGAGAGCTGAAAGTTTCTCCCCGGAAACCAGAGAGTCTACAAACTTGTTTTTGGTGACAGAACACGCGAATAAATTCTCCAAGGGCTACCAAAAATTTGAGCGCGGCTACACGATATGCTAAAGAGGTATTCTCAGAAAGCCATATATATATATATATATATATATATATATATATATATATATATATATATATATATACCGTCAAACTCTAGCAAGAAAGAAACTAGCGGGAGTTGAACTCGCCGAAAATCGCGATTGTGGCAAAGTTCAGGCTAAAATAGAGTGCCTCTGCATAGACATAACTTACAACTCTATTTGCCATACCGTACAGTGGTCAGTGAAGTGCTGCTCCCCCCCCCCCCCCCTCTCCCCTCCATCATGATCGAAAAGGCCCCTAAGAGAGCTAAGGCGGCTCCTCTAGCAAAAAGTATCTGTGAGAATACATTTCTCACAATGGATTGTTTCGAGGGCGGATTTACCGCACTGAATTGCTTCGGGGATGGATTTGCCGCAGTGGACTGTCTTGGGGAAGGATTTACCGCAATGGACCGTCCCAGGGCGTGCATTCAAAAATAGCCATATGGCCCTCAGATCCAACCATCATGTACCGAGACGAACCCACATGAAGTCTGATAGTACAAACAACACACAATGGATTACTGAATCCACCATAGGTATTATTCACCCTTTTATGAAGCGATTTGCGATGCACGACACGAGACATTCATGCTTTGAATACTTACTTTATGCACTACGCATTAACAAATGTTCTGGCGTGCAAAACTATAATGTGAATATCATGAGCTCTAGCTGCGTACCTGCTGTCTACACCTGTTGCGTACCATCCATCAACCGTGTCCCCGTATCCTTGGCACGCGTCACGTTCAGCCCGCAGTTGCAGCCCGTTGAACCTGCAGAGCACATCAAGGGAAAACCATGACCACAGCTTGCAAGTATCGGAGAAATAACTAAAATGGAAAGCCCCGCCGATTGCAGACGTGGCCGACCAATCGGCTCCGAGAAGAGCATAAACATCGTGATCTCTGCATCCATGGTGCAGACTTTTATCTGACGCGCCAGCAGCCGGTTTTCTGACGGCGGTATGGAACTATGGCGCCTGTGCCATTGGATCTCGCTGTAATCGCCTACTTATCAAAGGCGTCAGACGCCAGGCCTCCAGCCGCGGCGACAGCAGGGCTTCGTGCAGTAAACAGGACTGCAGCGTTTTGCGTCTGTGAACACAACTGCGGTGTGCCCACGGGACAAATTATGTCTTTTTTGTCATCGAAAAAATTTGAAACGCTTTTAATTGCCACCCATTGAATGGATAAAGAATGAATGTTGGATTTAATATATTTATCTCATGTGATATTGAATTAAAGCTACTCATTAGATGTAATATGAAATTTAACCTGTTTAGTATGTGTAAAAATGCATTTGACCTACTGAACTAAATGATAACTAACGAGCATAAAAATTGCCAAGTACAACTAAAACTGCTGGAATATCACTCTAAACGCAATTAATTACATACAAGAGGTGTATTCAAGCAATGCGTCATAAATACCAGTAGCCATAATACGCGAAGGGGTGGGGTCTATTTGCCCCCTCCCCCTAGGTTTTTTTCCAAAATCATATCCAAACGGCGCGTTGTAACTGAGTCAGACTTAACGGAGCTGTAGATAATTAAATAGTAGCGTTTTTGGTGTAAAAAAAGATGCACCGCGTAAGGTTGCAGCGCTATGACGGGTGAAAGTCAGGCTCGTAACTGTCAACAAAGGCAATATCTAGCCATTGCTAAATCTGATGCGACAACGGAGTGTTAGACTGGACCATAAATCTCTGGCATAAGTTCCAGGACAATCAGACGATTGAATTCTGGGTTGTGATAAATTGTATTGACTGGTTCGTTATGAGGGCCAGATCGAGGGAGTGAGCGGGTATGACGGTCCTCACTCTGGCGTGCTGCAGCAGACCCCGTGCTGCAGTGGACCCTGTGCTGCAGTAGACCCTGTGCTGCAATAGACCCTGCGCTGCAATACACCCTGTGCTGCAGTGGATCCTGTGCTGCAGTAGACCCTTTGCTGCAGTAGACCCTTTGCTGCAGTAGACCCTGTGCTGCAGTAGACCCTGCGCTGCAATAAACCCTGTGCTGCAGTGGATCCTGTGCTGCAGTAGACCCTGCGCTGCAGTAGACCCTGCTCTGCAGTAGACCCTGTGCTGCAGTAGACCCTGTGTCGCAGTAGACCCTGTGCTGCAGTAGACCCTGTGTTGCAGTAGACCCTGTACTGCAGCAGACCCCGTGCGATGATGGGCAGGTCGTCGTCCGACCTGAAAAACCCGACTGCTGATCGTTCGCAGCTGGAGGGCAAGGACGGCCAACGGCCTCGAGCGACCGTGCATTTTCTGTGGTCGGGCTACTCGGACACCGGTTGACCTAGGGATAGGAGATCACGAATGGCTTGGTGTTAGGACGTCCGGCCAGGGGCGGTTCAAGGACGTGGACCTTGTGGGTTTGCATGTTCGATGCAGTTGGGACAGACTTGAGTGGAGCACGAATCTTCAGAGAAGGTAGCTGTGGATCTGCGGCCGTTTGGGTGTCGCATGCTGCTATTCTATTTTCCGCTGCCTCAGCGCATGACTCAGGAAAAATGCCAGACTATCTTCTAGGCATTGCGTCGTGCTTGCACGAACGTAACACCTGTCTTGGCATCTTGAATTGAAGCTTGGGATCAACGACCGTGCACTCAATGGCAGTCCGTACATAAATGTGATACATTTAAACCACTTCACCACAAAACGCGCTGATGTGGAATAGAGCAGTTCGTTTGAACACGAGTGATGGTTGTGGTGATAGCGAGCCATTGGCAACCGCTTTAACTTAAACATCGCATGGACGGCGGGTGAGATGTCTTTGCCTGGATGGACGGAAGACCTGAGGACATGCACTTATTTCGAAAACAAATATCTCGCCGCACGGTTACACGACCAAGAGCCAAGGGGTGCAGTAGATGTTCAGAGTCCTGGCGACCACCGGCCAGTTTCAGGGGACGTTCAGCGTCAAGAGCGAGTGGGCATCAAAGCGGTAAAGGTCAGCGGAATCTGTAGTGCTTAACCACGTGATAGTCTACGACGCTACCCAGTGTAAAAACGATGTAGCTCAAACGGATAGACTGTATTGAGAGGCGATGGTCGTGGTCAATGCGTTTTGACTAGGACAACGCAACCAAATGACAGCTACAATATATTCTGGCTCACAAAGCTTCACATACACCTGGCACGACATCAGACAGTAATTTGTCGGGTCTTGAAAAAGTACACGATCCGAACGCTTGCCACTGAAGGCATCTGACACTGAATTGAGACAGGGCCGCCGGTGGGTGCCGAAAGTCCGGCTCTCAGGTTTGAGCTGTGGGTGTCCGAAGGACAACGATGACAGCTCGCGCCTCGCACTGGGGCCACTGCCGCCGTCGCGCGGCAGCGGGCCGCACTCTGCCGGGGCAAACCCGTCTGGACCGTGGACCGTCGACCGATGGCGGGCGCGTGCAGGACTGCGCGCGGAACCTCTGAAGCGGGCAGCGACGGCAAAGCTTCGAGAGCAGGTGGCTCGATATCCTCGTCGTCGGTGGTCACGGCTGGTCCCGTGCTCGGCACTGGGGCCAGGGAGCCGCATTCCATCTCACTCCATCTGACAGGAGGTATGACGCCCTTCCAACCTGCGGTTGGGCCGTCTGGGGCGCCCCAACCCGTCAGGCGTTCTTTGTCACGCGGCCAGCTCGCTCTAACACGCGCTCGGGTGAGGAGGGGGGGGGGGGGGCGTCTAATTAACTTTCCCCCGAATGTTTTTCCAAGATGGTTTCCGGACGGCGCAGCGTAGCCGCACCAAATTTTGCATAGCTGTAGAAAATTGAATAGTGGATCATGTGACATCGAAATTTAGAAGTGCCTTGTAAGGTCGCTGAGCTACGGCAGGTAAAAGCCAGGCCATGATTTCAACGAAGACAATTTCTAGGGAATCGTCCAATCTGAGATGCTTTCTTAGGCAACACAAATTTTTAATGAGCAAATTGCGTTGACCCAAGGTCAAGTATGCAGGTCAGACCAAGGTCAAAACCAGCCAGATTTTTTGGGTCTACAGCTTGCTGTATGGGATAGTTTCTGGTGCTCATTTCGAATTTATTGATGGCAGGAATCGCATGATGCATCTTCCATGGACTTCTTGGAGTTCATAATAGGCCATTGACCTAAAATGACCCAGGTCGAAAGTGTTATTTTTGGAAACGTACTGCCTAGTGTAAGCTTCGTCGCTTATTCAAATGCAAAACTCAGCGCGGTCTTGTATGATTTTGGTCACCATGACCTTAAAAAGTTGAAACAAGGCCACTGACCTTAAATGAGCATGCGACCTTTTGTTTAGAAACAGTTGTCTAGGTTCTGCAGGCACTTGGGAGACCAGCCTGGAATTTGACCTTTGTGAGCTTATTTGGCCTGAAGGTCATGACCTAGAAACCTCAAAATCTTAGCTGAGTGAGTCCATACACAAGTGAACACACCCTGTAAATTTGGTATCTCCAGCCTTCTTAGTTCCCGAGATCTTAGTGTGGGGGGGGGGGGGTCAAATTGACCCCTACCCGAGCGAAGGGTTTCCAGCCGGCCACCCAGGCGCGTGTTAAGCGAAGCGGATCTCCGGGACGGATGGATTGTCGTTGTTTAATCTCACGCCATCGGCTGTAGCCGCACGTATTCCGGGCGCGTTGTTTTTGCACGCGAGTGGTCAGATTGCGGTCACACGCGGCAGCTGACAGCACAGGCAAGTTCAGTCTCATGCAGCGTCCGCGCAAGAGCCCTGAAGGCGAGGTACCTGATGTGCAGCGCGGCGTGGCCTGATACATCGCTAGGCGGTGGCGGATGTGGGATGCAAAGGAGTCGCGTGCACCCCAGCTGGTGGTGGCCTCCAGCACCCAAGTCTTTAGGATGCTGTTAGAAAACTCCATTTCCAGCCGTATTTCCCCGAGGATGATGCAGAGATGACCCCGTGTTCGTTATGCTGCGATCCCTCAAGTGCTTCTCAAGTCCGAGTACCTTGGAACAGGCTGCTGAGAAGTTTCTGGAACGCGCTTCTACTCGAGATGAGGCCAAGCGGAGTTTTGATGTAGCGCATGAATCAGTCAGGCATGCGGAGGGCGGTACTGTTTCGAGAAACATAGTGGAGGCAGACCTGGTGGTATGCCTTCATCAGGTCGATGCGACTGCACATTGAGCCGCAGAGCTTGGGCTCAAGGTGGTCGATGGTGAGAAGCGGCAAGGGCTCTGCTACGATCTGGGCACTAGGACGGCGGAGGTCAACGCTGACACTGATCTTCCCGTACTTCCTCCTTGCGACGGTGAGGGATTTGATCCGCCCTTAGGCGCCAACACGTTCGATTATGCCAGCATCCAAATGGCGCTTCAACTCAACCAACACTTCCCCACGGACAGCGAGGGGAGGTCGGAGCACATTGCAGGCCGTTTGGACAACGTCCGGCTTGAGTTCGACACAGTGCTTAAAGCCTTCGACGGCAGGGAAGAGCTGTGACACGTTCACGCTGAGGACGCTGTTGGGCCTTGCAAGGAGCGTGGTGGAGAGTGCGCTCAGCAGGGTCATGCCCATGATAGCCTTCCACTTAGACGTCTTCACAGGGAGGACGTTGGCCGAAGGATATGGGCCGTTCAATCTCACTACATTTGATCTACCGGCCAGCTGATCGCACTGTCGAAAGCTAAAACGCCCAACAATATGTTGAGGCCGCGAGGTGTAGAACTCCAGGAGCTGGCGCGCCGCCATGTCAAGTCTGATTCGCAGTCTGTCGTAAGCGCCGGGACAGAGTCTCGCACCGGTGGCCTGCCGCCTGACCACCGCAATGGAGCATGGCGCACTGACGGACGGGACTAAAACTCTTCTCGGAGATCGTAAGGAGATAAAACTTGCGTTCTCACACACGAGCCACTCAATGGCCGGGTTGCCAGGCCGCGGCAGGATGGTGCAGGAGGCTACATGCCGTCCGAACTCGTGCTTATGCAGGCGCGTAGGTCGGGCTCGCTCGGCAAAACTACCGGCTTTGCTGGGCACTAGAACGGCCGCCAAGTGTGCCGCGTAATCGCTGTGCAGTCTCAAGGCGCCAGCCGACGTAAACACGATAGAGCTGAAGGGATATAAGGCGCTTGGTAGTGGTGGATCTAAGATCTAAAGAGATAAAAAGTGCTTGGTAGTGGTGGTGGTGGTCAATGCGTTTTGATCACGGCAGTGCGACGAAATCACAACCGCTGCAGAGTCTATTGCCTGGGATGTTAGACGAAGATAGCCAACATTCGGACTTTGTGGTGAAAGTGTGTGAACCAAGGGCGTGAGTAGGGGTGCGAGGATCGAGGGCGAGGGGCGAGGGCCACCTGAAGTTGTCAGGTCAGGTGGCAGCCAAAGCATAAAGACTAGAGGCTTAAGGTTAACGGGCTAACAGGGCTTTCTCATCAACAGTCAGGAAAGCGTCAGCGTCGAAAGCCAAGTTCCAGTCTGTATCAGTGTCGTGCTCCCTTCTCTTTTCACACCTCTCCATGGATGAGGAGCGGGTAGGGACAACCAATATGCGAATATCTAATTGGATAAAGCCGAGGAGAGAGCTGCGTCAAAGAAACGAGAAACGGAAATCATTGGCGAGCGGTCACAATATGAACATTCTATTGTGTCTTAGAAAGAGCGAAGGTGTATTGCCGAAGAGGTGTACAGCGACCGAACAGGCTGACGGTGTCTTCTGAGTGTCAGCGACTTTCCAGATAGGCATTTCAGATGAAAGCCCCATACAAACATGGAACTCACATAGACAAGACAGTAGCAATAGCCTTTTTCCTCGGAGAAAAACCAGGATAGTGGAGATATAGATGGGTTGAAACTTTAGCAACATGCATTTATCGAAACAATAGCATAAGTCTTCACTTCTTCATGGAGCTTCCTTAGCCCCATGTCCTGATATGGTCAATAATGCCCTAAAGGACTCGTATCCAGCACAAAAAACCTGCACATGTCCGCAGTGTGGCCATTTTGGACAGAGTGCCGGTAGTAAGGTAGCGTAGCGTGCTCTTTTTTAACACAACAATTGCCTGTTTCGTTGCTTTTAGCCGGTAAGGTGCGTTCTCTCCACCACTGACATGGACGCCACCAAAACGCTTTTTCATTGGCAGGTCTTTTTCTTTAGCTTGCTGCACCCATGGCCGTTTTTCAGTGTATTCCGGAGCACACGATAGCAATTCTGACCTATTGAGAAGTACTGGAAACATCGTTCAACGCAGAGTCACGGGCGGAATGAAAAGGGTAGGAGGGTCGCTAGCATCACATACCCCTCTCACCTCTATCAAAATCTCATGTCCGCTGCCCAGCTAAGCATAGAAAAAACACAGACGTAAAAGCGGGTGTCCTTCCATTTCTTCAGATGTTCTCTGGATCCCCTTAGAAACCTACATGACGAGAGTTGAGGGCGGGAAAACTCGTAGCATCCGCTCCAACACTATTTCCTCGCAAGGTGTGTGTTATATGCCTTTTCACGGTTTTTACAGGCTGTCTATGATGTTGGTGGCGGCAGAAACTGACGGTTAGTTGCACACAAACAGCAGGCATAATTGTCGAAAGAATCGAGCAGAAGTATTGGTATTACGGGCGAAGTAGTTTTGGATCATCGTCCTCGTCTAGGCTATTAGCATTTACACTAAATGCTAACACACTAGACGATGACGATCGTCCGACTCCATACTTGAAAGAAATATGGAAGGGAAAATGAGCGCATGCGCGCCTGTCAGCGTCAAGCATATGATAGAAATATCAGCCGTAATGCAGCAATGAAAGCACATCCCCAGTCGTCACAAGGTTTCACAGCGCAGCGCTCCGCCCAGGCCCAGGTTCCACAGGGATCTGACAAGCGCGCATGAGCGACCAAAACGAACAGCAAGGACAACAGCCAGCCTCTTCCCTTCCCTCGGCGTTGTGGCGGCTGACACCACTGGACGGCCCTAGATCACGTGGTAGGATGGCTTCTCCGGGCCGCTCCGCCTGGCCAGGTCACTTCCGGGCTTGCTGGACCCGAACAGCTCGACGACAGAGGACGGCGGCGGGTGCGCCTCCGTCGGCCGTTCTGCGTAGCTCTTACTGAGCAATTCGCCACTAGATGGTGCTCCATCTGCTGCCTGACTTGCAAGATTGTGTGAAGCGTGCTCAGGCCTGACGAGCGCAGGCACCGTCCCGGCCTCCAGCGGTGACATCGGGGCGGCGACGGGCCCACGCGAGGCGGCACCGCTCGGAGCCCGCGATGGCGCGCCTCCGCCGAAGCGCGAGGCGGAGCCGGGCCCGTCTACCAGGTGTCGCTGCGGTGATCCTGGCGCGCCATCGTTGGCCGCAGCGGAGCCGAGGCCAGCGGCCGGCCTGCCCAGGGCGCCACCGGCTCCGGGAAGGTCGGCACGAGCAGCCAGAGCGTCGCTGACCAGCTGACGGTGGAGCGGGCTGATCTGACTCTGACTCGGAGACTGCTCTCGTCGGGCCCAGCCCGAGTGCGGCTTGTTGTAACCTGCGAGAGACGTTATCATCGTATCACTGTTAAAGCAACATCAACGGACACTTTTAAAAACAAGCCTCTTCGATATTCTTCAATGCTTCTTCTCTATGCCATACTAGTCTTCCTCAATGCGTTCCGCAGCGTGCACCAATAAGGGTATGATAGGCATGAAATAGCCCAATAGGTCGCATCAAGATCTCTAGTCGGTTGAACATTCAGAATAGGCATCAATGCGTGAACAACGGAGGTCAGAATCACTGGCGTTGTTGACAATAACTCGTGGTGTTTTCCAGCCCAAGGATAGATGTGTTCCGCAACATGAACATCTATAGGTCTATAAATGCGACGCCCATCGGCAGATAGTGACATGTGACGTCACGCCATGTGTCAGTGCGTGCTCCCGGCCGAACCAGGAGCGGTGGACCAGACCTGCCAGACCTGCCAGACCTGCCAGGTGGCAGCGGCGGCCGCCGCGTGTGCGGGGTCTCTGCTGCGGCCGGCGCGGCACTCACCGGCCGCCACGTTCTGCGTGACGGTGAAGGCTCGCGCCGTGTCCAGCGGCAGCGTCCAGTTCACCGGTTCCGGCGAGTGCAGAGCAGCCACGTCCTCCGGCGACTTGACGCGGGTCGGTTCTGGCGGGCTCTTCACCAGGGCAGCCAGCGCCGCCTCCTGCGGGCTGCCGGCCGCCGGCATCTGGGTGGCGACGACGGCTTCCTCTGCCACGCTCTTTGCGTCTGCCGCGACCGCGTCGGCTCTGCTGCCGTCTTTTGGGGGCGCAGTGTCAGCAGCCGGGCCGGCGCCGACGGGCCTGAGCCCGGCACGCGACCCGTTGGAGTCCGCGGAGGCGGCTCTTGCCTTTGCGGACCCTGCTGGAGCGCCATCCTGTGGCCTCCGGCTGACCTTGGGCGGGCCCGGGCCAGCTGGCGACACGGTGCCTGGCTGCTGACACAGTGACAGCGCCGCCCGCGGCCGAGACGGACTCCTTCCCCGACCCTTGTCCACCGCATCGGCTGAAGACCGGCCCAGAGCAATGTCACGCAGGTCAGCGCGGGCCTACGATGAGATCCGTATGCCGCGTATCTCGGCGCACTTGCTGAGTGCACCGAGAACACGCGGACTGAGCCGTCGTCTTACTGAACAAACACGATTTCTCTGAACACAAACTTTAAAGGATAGCGTGGCAATTTCTCCAGCTGTGGAAGCAACCACAATACAGCAATATACGTTAGTGCTCTTAAAGTCCGAGAACAATTGCATGTCACCGGCAGTCAGCAATTTCTGTCTCGACCTCCATTACGCGAATTTTATTTGCTCATCTAATGAATGTAAGCTCACAGAGCGCGCCTCTGCGCTGGTCTGGCCACTGACCTGCGCCTCTGGCGCCCACCGGCTGGGCACTGCCGGGGCGACTCTTCCGCTCGGTGATGTGCAGTCTGAGTGACGCCTGCAACACTGATCGGCGTCAGAGGCCGGGTATAAGCACTAGTCACCGGCACTAGCGGCGACACTGGCACGGTAGGTGTGTGGTTTCGTGTCAGTAGATGCCATGCAACGACCGATGCAAGGGCGCGCTAAACTGAGTTATTCTCTTTCAATTTATTTGTACGAGATTCGACCGTGTCTGTTATGGATTTTCACTCGTGGTAGCTATTAGTCAGTGTACGGCATACAGTCAGTGGGCTGCGCAGACCGATGGACACCAGATGCTACAAAGTAATGAAGTGCCGTCCGGCTTCATTGCCTAGAGTACGGAAATCATCTGCTGGTCTAAGCCAACGATGCATATGCACGTGGTGTGACGCTTTGGGCATCACAGCCTTATCATTCCCCTATCTCGGTATTATTCGTCAAACCGTTAATAGTCCGAAATAAGTAAAACGGCCCAATCAGCAATAATTTTCACAACTTAATAACCTGAAATTGCGCCATTAAAACCAGATGGTGCTGGTGTAGGCACGTTAGAGGCGGCGAAAGGCGGCACAGGACCTCCAGCCGCCTGAGGGGCGCCTCCGCTGGGCCCAGCCGCAGGGGCGCGGTGCCGCACCTTGGCGCCCGGCGGTCTCCTCTTGTCGGCACCCGGCGGCTGTCGACTGTCGGCGCCGGCCGACACTGCCGCCGCCCGACTGCGCCCGTCAACAGTGTCGGACGCGGCGCGACCGCGACCCTCCCTCGTGAACCTGTCGAGCGAGAGAGAGAGAGAGAGAGTGGGGCAGCTCATCACGGCCGGCGACGTCCCGGCCAGCGGCGAGACCATCCACCAGACAATGGTGCGGCGTCCGCGCCGCCATGAAAGCATTAAACCCTGACGAAGGGCATCTGATGAAATAGGGCCGAATGATAAATCGCGCGAGATGGACCTTGCTGGCGCTTTGCCAGACCTATGCATGCAAGGGATGCCCAAGGGATGAGAACCTCCATGTTTTCGCGTACCGAGGGTTTGACCGAGACTATCACCTATCAGAAAGAGGCGGCGGTCAGTAGCGTAATGACGCAATCACGTGGGCTTTTTTGTTATTTCATTTGACCCGCGGTTTCAGAAAAAGAGCAGTACTGTCCCCACTTTTACACTTTCATACCCGGGTGTGTAAGTCCTCAAAAAGCGCGCTGACTGTCGCGACACGGTGGTACTTAATCTGCTAGCCGTATGAACTATGCGGAATATTCATTGAAGCTTGATAGTAATATCCATCAGCGACAGCCATCATTGGCAATAAATATAATAACTAAAACGCTAGGCAGCGCTGATCATTTTGTGAGCTACTTTAATAAGACGAAGAATGGCGGTTCGGCGACTAAATTTATTCATTAACCGACTGCTCGGAGGGCGCACATGCAAGAATTGTTATTTTTTTCGTCGGCAGCCAACACTGAAAACATAGATGGTCTGACAGCGAAGAGGAGACCTCAAGAGCCGAGTGTCGATGCAGCCTGAAGCACAGGGGCCGCCCATACATTACGTTATGCTTCGAGGGGAGTGGGAGCGGGTGGTGGAACGGAGTGTAACGGAACCATAATAAGAGAGGCAGGGGGGGGGGGGGGAATTTAGACAACGACATATTACACTTAGGTGTCGTTGCAAATAATTCTTCAAAACTTTAAAAACAGATCTAAATTTAGAAACCGGATGCCATTAGCTTCCTCTGATGCCATTGAACACGTCTGTTATTTGTTTCGCATCTCTAGCCTAGGTGAGGCCAAACGGACGTCACTTTGTTGGCAAGAGGGGGGGGGGGGGAGTGTCGCCCAGTCTAACCAGCGCATAACCGGGGAGAGGGAGGCTTGAGCAAAGACCTAAATTGGGCAAAGTGATTTATAGAGGGCCCCACTATACACCTAGTTACTCCAGTCATGTCGCCATCCCGAATGACGTCAGGCCGTCTCGCAGGGCTGGCTCCTAGGGGCATGCGTGCTTTAACGTTGCGTTACCCACAGGGACCTCGGGGCAGATTCACAGTGTGCATCAATGTCACCTGCTGACCGTTCCGCCCCAGCTACCAGCCCCGCTCTCGGTGACCGGTTGGCCCGACCGAGACCTCAACACTGACCCAGGCTGTAGCGTCTCCAGATAGAGGGCCGAGATAATTTTACGCTCTGGCTGTCGGTTGGGGTCCTCGGCCTGGTCGTACAGGTGGACCAGGTGGGAGGCGGCCGTCTCTCGGCCCCATCCCCGCACCTGTGGACACAGCGCGACCCGCCTGCATCACACCGATGACGTACGACTGATATACTCTCCACACACAAAAACACGCTGTCTGCTGCATCTGACCGGCAGCTGCGACACTCCACACACCCACACCCACACCCCTACCCCCACACCCACACCCCTACCCCCACACCCACCCACACCTACTCACCCACATCCGCCCTCCCCCCCCCCCGCACACACACACACCACACACACAGGCACACACACCACACACACACACGCACACTACTGCAGCTGACCGGCAGCTGGACTCTCCTCCCCCCACACCCACACCCCTCCCCTCACACACACTGCTGCAGCTGACCGGCAGCTGCGACACTCCCCCCACACCCATACTGCTGCAGCTGACCGGCAGCTGAGGTACCCTCCTCACCCTGCCTTCTGCCGCTGACAACGAGGATACCGGTCCCAACGACCCACTGCCTCCGACGCGCAGCTGCGATATTCTGCACGGTGACGCCGATGAACCAGGCCACTGCATCACGCGTCTTCGGATTCGTTCTCCCCTCCCGCCCATACCAAAGCAGAGCACCATTCCAAGCGACAGAGTTTCAGTCATCTATTCATGGTTCTAAGACCGCTGTCAAGGCACCCAATATATTGTTCGAGACCTGCCCCGGCCAGCAGGTCTCTCATATACTCCTGAGTAATGATCCTCAGCCGGTCGTGACTTCCGCGCCGAGATGGCCTAATCGGTCTTCAGAGGGGCGCCATTTGTTTGTGGTTACAGGCAGCTGCTATGGCGAAGGTGTTAAGAAGCTTATGACGAAAGGTGGGAGTGGAAAATAATGCATATTTTTCGGTTTAATCAAATGCGTCCGTCCATTTTGGGCGTATTTGGACTTTGAGAGTCCCGACCGTCAGTTTGCTATCGAAAACCCCTTTAAAGAGCGCTACTAATTGGAAATTGAGCCCTATGTCTTGAACCCAATGCGGCCGTGTCGTGTGCGATCTCTTAAGAAACCTGTCTCGACGGTCACACGCTCGTGGAAGTCGTCACTGAGCTCAGGAATCGCATGCCGCGTGTAGGGTGCTTCCAACTGGCCCTTGTCTGATCTGCACCTCTCACGACGACTCGAGCGAGCCTTGTGGACCCCTTCATGCTGCATTCCATTGATGTTAAGCACGCGCCCGGTCAGAGAAGCTGACTTCCCCCTATAGTTTTTCGAGCACGGGTCAACAACGAACGCTTGCAGCAACACGACATTTGGACCACCTGTGCATTTATCGGTTTGGTATCCTTCGCACAAATTTAAAGGTTTGATCCACCAAGATTACGGACCTAGGGCAGGTCAGGTAGGTCAACCTCTAAAAAAAATTGACCACACCCACCTTTTTGCGGACATCTTCCATAGTTCAAACTCGCATTGTAATGGGATATCACAGTACCTACGGTGTGTGTATTTCAAGTTTTTCGAAATAGGCAAGGTCAGTGACCTGAAGTCAGCTCAATTTTACTATTTTATAAATAATGCAAGGTTTTACGCATTTTTGTGCACTTTTGGTATTCATATATGAAGAAAAGAGTACTAACCCATATGCACAACGATCAGATGCCTAAAGAGCATCTGGCCTTGACCTAGGTCATCATCTGCCTCTACGAGTACCTTCTACAAAACACATGCTGAGCTCAAAATAGGCAGTTTTGTGAGATAACTTTGGGAGTAGAATTCGAAACTACAGTGAAAACATGTTGTGATACCATCCTGATGCATAATGAGATCCCAATAGGTCACATGAGGCTATGAATTATCATATGAGGTCATCCGATGTCAGTAACCCATGTTGTCAGCAGCGGAGAGGCTAGACGAACGAATGCGGGGCGTGCATCCATGTATCTGCATGATTTGACAACATTTTCACAATATTTTTGTTTCTCTCATACGCCTTGAGGTTGGAGATCCAAGGGGAAGGGCAACTCCCCCCCCCCCTGCCGCGCACGGTTGTCTCAGACCCCTCCCCCCCTGGCCGGGCGCAGACTAAATTTTTGGTGTCTCATAAAAGATGTGCAAGCTCTGGTAATCGCAAGGCAGTTTACGCTCGTTCACGTAACCATCTTCTGCATCAACAACAGTCCTGCAATCTCACGCAACAGTTCCTGCACCCACACGTTGCACTGACCTTGTAGCTGACTGCCTTCCTGCGGAGCTCGATCAGATTGGTGTACCAGGTGCGGGACCTGGCGACGCCGGCCGTGGCCGGACCGGGGTCCGAGGCCCGGGGCCCGACCACCGCCGAGCCGTCATCAGTGAAGTCACGGAATTTGAGCCGGTACTCCGAGTTCAGCATCGATCTGCAGCCAAGCAGGTGATCATCACCGGCCGGCCGCGGCGGGAGGATCGGCCGGCGAGATGAACAGAGGTATCGGCCGGCGAGCTGAACGGAGGTATCGGCCGGCGAGCTGAACAGAGGTATCGGCCGGCGAGCTGAACAGAGGTATCGGCCGGCGTGTTGGACAGGGGTATCGGCCGGCGAGCTGAACAGGGGATCAGCCGGCACAGTAAGCAGGGGTGTCAGCCGACGAGCTGAACATGGGAATCGGCCGACGCGCTGAACAGGGGATCGGTCAGCGAGCTGAACAGGGGATCGTCCGGCACCGTGAACAAGGGATCGGCCGGCGAGCTGAACAGGGGATCGGCCGACGCGCTAAATAAGGTCGGCACGCTAAACAGGGGTATAAGCGGCACGGTGAACGGCCGGACAACGGACCAAATTCGCGCCATACTTTTAACACTACAGTACCTGGGGATTTAGTCTACTGGTAATTTTAACGGTTTTGTGATTCCGGTGGTAAGGTCACACCCAGGCCGGCTTGGCGGCTGTCCCAACCTTTCAAAGGCACCGCGTCCCACAGCGGGGTAGGCCGAGACAGTCGGAAAGGCCCTCTCGCCCGGTACGGAATCCCACCAGTGCCGTGCTCGAAGAAACGATTGAATAACATTGCTGGCTAAAATTTTAATGACATTATTCTTTAAATGACTGCCTGGGTGAGATAGAGGAGCGACCGTCCAACGTCCGTGTGCGGCGCCTCTGCTCCGGTTTTGGTTCCGGATTGCCACAGCGTGTAGCTGAGAGGTTAAAGCGCGCATGACCGTAGCAGCTTTACGCGTCCCAGGAACAAATATGTTCCTCTTCGCCATGGCTCGGATTAAGACCGACTGGCATTCCAAGCTATTAGACTCAGTCTAAGCTACTCAAACAGACGTTGAATGACACTGGAAGAATACCAACTCGTGCTCTCTACTCATGTTAACAACCGCCTTGACAAAAAAGAAATCAGCTGGTTGGCTTACTGGGCAGTCTCACCTTTGCTCAGTTATCACGGTATCTTGTTGTGAAGAGTTGGCTCCTGTTGTACCTGTCCACGATCCTGGAACACATTTGTAAAAAAACAAAACCAGGATGAACGCGGTTAGAATGTCATCGCAGAAACGGTTTTCATGAATTCATACTGACCTGGTTCACTCACCAACATATATCACACGTTCACTCACAGCACTCCTTCCTCTTAAGCACAGCAGAGTGGCCGCCGAGCCGCCAGGGCTGGCAACACCGAGACGCCAACTGACCGGCGTCGACCAGCGAGCGGGCGCCAACTGACCGGCTCGACCAGCGAGCGGGTGCCAACTGACCGGCGTCTGCCAGCGAGCAGGCGCAGACTGACCGGTGTTTGCCAGCGAGCAGGCGCCAAATAACCGGCGTCGACCAGCGACCGGACGCCAACTGATCGGCGTCTGCCAGCGAGCAGGCGCCAAATAACCGGCGTCGACCAGCGACCGGGCGCCAACTGACCGGCGTTGACTCGTGAGCGGGCACCAACTGACCGGCGTTGACTCGTGAGCGGGCACCAACTGACCGGCGTCGACTCGTGAGCGGGCACCAACTGACCGGCGTCGACCAGCGTACGGGCGTCCTCAGCCGAGTTGTTGCAGTCGAAGCAGCGCAGCATGGCTGCCGTCGGGCAGTCACCGCCCGGCTCCGGGGCGGGTCAGTTGCAGCCGCACCCTGACCCCGGCGCCGGCCGCGCCCCTGCCGCCCGGCGCCGGCACTGAAAGGCGCGCCGTCGGCGGCGCCGCGCCACGCGCCGGGGGTCGAACGCGTCGATGCGACGCCGGCCGCCGGCCGCAGGTCCGCGGGGCGGGGTCGGGGGGCGGGGCCCCGGCGGGGTTCTCACCTCACTTCGGCGGTACGACCGGGCCGCTCGCCGCGCGGGCCGGGCGGCTGGGCGGACCGAGCGGGGGCAAAGACTGCGTCATGGTCGTCCAGACGCCTCCGCGGCCGCCCCGTCCAGCCGCCGCCGATCAATAGCCTCCAGACGGTCACGGCCGCACTCGTGCGCCGCGGCCGGCCCGGGCGAGGCCTGGCCACTCATCTGGGCACTACGCCACCCGGGGAAATGTCGCCGCTGCATGTAAATGGGACCCAATGGGATTGGAACCAGCTCCAGCTCGTCGCTGAACGAGCCCATGGCTGACACGTCTGTATTCGGGCTTGGCCGTGCTGAGTTGATTACGATGCGACGCTGCTGAGGGCTTCTCTCGAGGGGTCGCCCCGGCCCGTCCTCCAATCGGGCAATCGGTAGTTCAGGCCGGTCGGCTGCGTTTGCACGCAGCGCGCTGCGAGGTCTGCGTCTGTGTCTGTTCGCGGTGCTTTGAACGCAGCATCTCCGGCATCTCAGCGGCACAGATGACAGCCCCCCCCCCCCTGCATTCCAACACCACGGGACGTCGTCCATCCATTCGGCATCACGGTGACATCAATGGCCGTCCAACATGCCAGGACCACTTGACATGGGCTCCTGGTCTAGCAGGGAGGTCCAGCCAGGGCATATGTGATATAACAGAAATCCAGTAAATCAGGCGATGCGGATGCACCAACAAACTAGCCTGGTGCACTGGGTGATTTCCATCACTCGAATTAGGTATTTGGTACGAAAATCTCTCAGGCTTAGGACATGCAGCGAACAGTAAAGAAACTAGGTGTCTTACAATATAAGAGACAAACAAATTCCAACGTATTTGCCACGCACTAAAACCACACTGATATAAGCAACACCACATAAGTGGTTCCAATATATATATATATAAAGCACGATTTTTATTTTCTTTATAAGGACTGGTACCGTCACCAGTCTAAGAGGCCCGACACCCATCAGAATCATATCAAGAACGGAAGGCGAGCAAGCCCCATTTGCTCTATCATAGTTCTTGTGTGCATGAAGAGATTTTAGCAGGCGGTGCACTTCAGAAATGTGCCAGCGCTCGAATATTTGCTCAATCAACATTACTACAATTTGTTGAATTCTAACAGTTATTGCACGCGAAAAGAAACATCATAGCGCCCTGCTTTCAGATGATTTCAGCATGCAGTTAGGTATGTACATCCAATGCAGCATTAGATTTCCGAGTTCAAAGGAGGCCGCTGATGCAATAACCTTGCCCCTTTGATGTTCACCTATGATTACTTTTCCCATGCACATGGTGGTAATGACTGTAGTCGGCTCGCAAGGCGGGCGTGAAAGGGAATAAGTGTCTCAACATATGCTTGTTACGCCTTCCATCAGATTAAAATGGCATATTTAATCCGTATATATATATATATATATATATATGTATATATACGCGTATATATCTATCTATCTATCTATCTATCTATCTATCTATCTATATATTATATATATATATATATATATATATATATATATTATATATATATAGTATATATATATATAATATATATATTGATCTATATATATATATATATATAATATATATATATATATATCCACCACACTTCAGTCGGCTTAGGGCCTGTGACAAGGACTTATCAAAAAAAAAAAAAAAATATATATATATATATATATATATATATATATATATATATATATATATATATATACATGTGGCATGACTGGAACAATCTGTTTCGTTCGTTACTCATCAAAGGGCATGCTCCACATTTCAAGATAATGATGCAAGCGTCAGATACGATGAAATAAGGTCCCTTTTACCCATTGGTATACCTTCAAGTGGAAAAGGCTGCTCTAGACAACACAGCTCCTCTTTTTAGTCAATATGCTCTCCAATGCGTTGCTGCTTGATTACGTCATCGTGCCTCGCGCAACATTGATTGAGAGCCAACTGACGGCCGTTATATCTGGAAACCGTTCTCACAACCGCTAGATATGAAAGACTCGACAATTATATTTTTCCCGCTCTAGATCGTCGCATGGTCAATGAGATGACAGAACTTAAATGCTGTTATTATAATATCATAGATGCCTGGATGACCTTGAAAAAGTCCCCCGATAAAGTCTGCATACCTTCGCGGGCGTGTAGCTCAGAAATGCGAACAGTTTTGGTCTTGAGAAGGGCATGGCTGTAAACTGCATCGAATGATCTTCGAGAAGGCTATTTCACCTTAAAACCTCAAATAATGGTGGAACGCCGCCTTCTAGCAAAGTGTCTGCCGAATCATGAAGTGCCCTTTGAAGGTTTGGGGTCACCATAGGTCACGTAATCTGACGTTACGAGCTAATCCATTTATAAAGTTGAAATGAGGTCATTACTCTGACATTTTTTAACTTAAAAATCGCGAATCTGTTGGCTAGCATGGTGCAATGAGGGTTCATCGCGTTCACAGATATCCTTACTATAAGTTCTTCCTCGATTGTCAGGGACATGAAGTACCGGATCATTGATCCGCAGGAAAAGCATTGCAGGAATGATTTTAGAGCTCACGATTAACCGATGAGCCAGCGCCTTCCAAATCGGAGAGCTGGGATGTCGAAGCGACCTGATACTGTCCGGGCGTGATTTGTGGTGGCATCCCTCACGTCTGTTCGGAGTCCATAAACATCCACCACACTTTACTGCCTCGACCACTTCTAATCGCCGACCGCTGCCGACCTTGCATGGCTATTGTGCATGCCCGGCAGCCCCGCCGTCGTGGCGTGGGGGGGGGGGAGGGGGGCGGGGTGGGGCTCGGCCGACCGGAGGCAGCCAGTCTGGCGCCGCGCCGCCTGGCGGCCGACTGTGCCGCCGATCAATGGTGCGGCGGCGGCGCCCTGCCCGACCCCTCCCCCGGCAGAGGGGTCCAAACACGCAGCAGAGGGCGGCAGGATCCGCCCCGCGCCTCCCGGCGGCCTCTGCTGACGGCTGCACCGCCGGCCACCAACGCCGGCAGGCGATAACACTGCACCGGTGAGCTACCTCGCATAGCGCGTGTGCTGGCTGCAGTGGTGTAGACAGGATTTCGCTCAGGAGGGGAGCGAATCAGGCATAGGAGGCCTGACATCCTAAGGAGGCCTACTTGGTCGGCATAGAAGCTCTGTTTAGCTTTATTCGCGGCCTTCCCTATGCTCGGTATCACATTTTGGCACCTCAAGAGCCTGTTTTGAAATGCTTTAGAAGCCCTACGGAAGTCTCAACTGCCAAAAAGTGCTGAATCTCCAGGGTTAGGGGCACGCCCTACAACCCCTTCTGGTAGGTAGGACGCTGGTAGGCTGTGACGGTGAGTAAAAGGGCTCAGACGTCTGCCGTAGCTCGCCATGCCCGGGAGCTATAGCAAGTAGTACACCAGGCTGTACCGGTGACCTGCCATAAGGAGCGAGCCGTATGAACTGCGTCATTCGGCTCACTGCAGCTGTACGGTACATATGTGCCATAATGCAGCTTTGATTTCAGTCGGCTTAGGGCCTGTGACAAGGACTTATCAAATATGTTGCTCCACAGCGCGTGCTCGGTAAGCTGCATCGCTTGGTTACCACGTATAGCGCTGTGCAAGCTGCATGGGTGGAGGCGCATCTTGGAGATGTGTGGAGCAAATAGAAACTGGGGCTCCAAGTGAGGCCGGGAACACCTCGATCATAACATGACGTTTCTAAATAAGGAAATCGGGAAAATATACATTATAGAGCAGAACTGGCGTCAACTTTTTTAGGGCGAGGGGGGGGGGAGCATAACCACTTACGCCTATCCCATTGCCGCACCCATGTTCAGATGTGCCGGTGACTTCCCACATCTGGGACTGTAATTGACATGCCCGTGAGTTGCCACGAACCGAGTCGTTCACCCTGCGCAGGTTTTCTCACGCACATCATGTGACTGAGCAATAACGGAACGCGTCTCATGTGATGGATTTCATGTGAACGTCATGTCAGTCTTGCCAGGTACCCCGCCCGCTAGGCTTTGACGAAAATCGCCTCGCGGGGTTGTCAGAGGCCACAAAATGTGTTTTAAGAATTGCTACGTGATCAGAGCATCAGTTCAAGGGTTAACGCCTCTAGGTGTTTAGATGTCACGCGACGTGGGTACATGGTCGCGCTGAGCTCTATTAAAGATTATATTAAGTGCACAAGCTGCGATTTGCACAAATTTGAAAAGCGAAACCAGCCTTTTTTTAAAAATTTTATCTTGAAAGCACTGTAAGGGTAAATATTGATGGTCTCCAACAGGACAACAGGGCAAAGGAGCTGTCATGTATTTGCAAAGGTAAAGTCAGGACGATGACCTTTGACGACTTTTTACACCTTTCATCCGTGCTGGATCTCTTTCTTGCCTCATATCTGGATACAAAAAGATCTTTGCTGCACTTCAAAAAGAAGGTGCCGATTTTCAGGCGATAAAAAGCAAAATTTTAATTTTTCAGCCCATTGACTTGACGACGTGACCTGATATATGATCTGACCTGGAAAGTCAGTGCGCGAAATGATGAAGTGGTGCCCATGGCCTATCTGGAATATCTACTCTTATAGTTGTAGGGCATTGTATGCCTGGTGGACGTGTCCTTGTCACCGGCCTTTGTTCATCTAAGGCATCGAATAAAAATCAAAGCGACATTTTAGGGGAAAAAAAACATTCAGTCACAAACGACTTCCTCCATTCCCTGTGGTGTACCAGTGCCGTTCCAGTCGTCAGCTTAATCATTGCTTTGATTAGCTGGAATATAAGATCACGGTTTTCTTTCGCTCATAGGCACCCGAAAATTGCGTCTTGAAAAGGATTGCTGTTACCA